AACTATTTGAAGTTTCCGTAACCTCAGGTTCAGCATATGAAACTCTCTTTCTTACTCTCCACGACTTCTCCTTATCATCAGTCGGAATATCAGCTGGAAATGATTCTCGTTCCTGTGATACATCTATATTTATGGGCAAATTTGGAAGCAGTGAAGTATCACTGCGATATGAATCATCATTTTCATCGTTTTTTCGAGATACTTTTCCGGCACTATGCTTCCTGCAACATATCAGTTAATTAGCTAGTCATGCAAAGATATTTCAGAAATTACTAAAATTCATGTTTTTCGGATGACAAATGACCTTCCGTAAATGCAACTGCAATAAGAGTAACAACAATAGTAACAACCTTTGCATGAAGTGGTTACAGATGAATAAATCGGAATTGCGTTAGAACAATTATTAGTGGTAAAAAAACAGGAAAAAAGAAAACTAAACTAAACTTCTGGAAATAAGTAAAGCTTAAATTGTTTAAAATTGAATTAAAGTGAATTTTTGAAATAATGAATTCAAACTTACAAGTAATTATTTTCAAGCTCTAAAAGATAAATTTGTTGTTGCAGTTGTCTTGTGTATTGTTCTTGTAAATGCGTTGCTGATTGATTAACATCACTTTGCCGATAAGGACATTCTTTCGTTCTGAATGTTAACAAATGTTTGCAAAATTTGAAAATTCTTATATTTGAATATTTAAATGGGAGACTTTTGCAGAGAGCTAAAAATTTACTCTTTTGGAATGGTTTTAATGGATGGTGTAGAAGAAGTGACCACATTGCGGATATTTCCAATGCTGCCACTTTTTCGAAGTGTCGTTTTTGTTGTTGTGATTGTAGATGTGGGTGTTATCCGACGGGCTGCTGCTCTTTGTGGCATCGCTGTTTCTGATGATGGAACATTTTGTAGCCTATGGCATGATGTGTTATCGAAACCCATATAACCTATACCTGGAAATTTTTACAAATTTTTCATTTCCAACGATTTCATTAAATCTCACTACAGTCCTTCCTATTCGAGAAGTAGTAATGTCTAAAAAACTGATCTATTTATTAAAAAATTCCCTAATGATTAAATTTATTAAAATATTATCAAATTAGATTCTAATATTCATTGATATATCCTAATGAAATGCATACAAAATAATTAAGAATTATCTATAAACATTTAATTCCTTGGGAAAAATGATAGTAATTGCTTTGAAATTGGACAAATATACTGCGAAAATTATAAATATTTTAGGCTTGATAAAAGTGTATGGAAACTATAAAATTTAATAACTGAACTGAACCAACAAAAATTTAGCAATTGAACTGAACCAGAGTTAGACTCCGTAAAATACTTGTAACTGCAATGAAATATAATGGATAAAAGGAAAAATAATAGTAGTGAATAAATAAATGGGCCAAGCATTTTTAAGGGAACCAAGAAAATTCACCTCTTATGGCAAGATTTCCTGCTGAACCGAATTGTTTCCGCTGTCGTTGCTTCATTATGTACCGACGAAGTGCACATTTTCTGCTCGCAATATTACTTTAAAGACATTACTTGAACTGAAAAAGAATAGCAAAAATTTTTTGATTTTATAAATTACTGTGTATTTGCTTGCTTCATCTTAAATTAATGATAATAATTCCACAATTATAATTGAAAAAATGAATTCTTTGAGTATTTATTTTTAACGCTTGTTTTCAAAAAATTGACGAGGTAAATACCTGTGCATTATAATTTCCAAATGGAAGAGAAGTGAAAGAAGAATTTGCAGCAATGGAAATATTCGGAAATATTATAATTGAAAAAATTATATCAGAATTATGGTTGAATTATAAAAACAAAGTGTTATTATAAATGGAGCATAGAGCACGAATGCAATTTCCTCAAACAAAAATATTATTTGAAATTTCAAAAAAAAATTGTTCAAATATAACATAAATCTAATCTAAGAATGATTTTGAAATGTCATTAATAATATTTAATATTTCAGTAATATTGAAATGTTATTCCAATGTTTACTATTTCAAATATAACAATGTTTTGAAATTATTAGTTTTTTTTTTTATTCATAGCTAAGCTGATAAATGAAACATCCCAACCAGAATTCTATTCAAATGAAGTTTTAAAAAACAACGAGGAAAAAAATTGACAATTGTATGTAAAATTGTAAAAGAAGAATTATTTTAGTATTCCAACTGACACTATATTATCATTCTTAATTACAGTTAAAAAATTTCAACAAAATGATATATGCGCTTTTTGTTTTGTCTCATTAAAGAAATTGCAATGAAAGAAACTTTAAACAATAATTTCTACTAACTCAATATTAAACGGATAGTCAATAAAAATGTTTGTTGAAATATTAAACATGGGAAATGTTAGATAGCAGCTAAACAAAGCGTAAATCATTCCTCACTTAACCAAAAACGGTCACCCAGGCAACGAACACGCCATACCATTAGGCTTAAAGTTTTCATCATAATGTAAAACTTACACTGGATGTATCTGACACTTCATTAACTAACTAATTTAAAATGTGTAACTATGATATGGGATATTAAGGTTGAGAAATTTCTAACAGTGTGTCAACGTTGCTGTTAATTATCAATCAAATTCATTAATGATTTGCAGTTTACTATATACTTTATTGCTTAATTTTATCTAACATAAATTATAATATATATTATTATAGTAAGATATTGGTGCAGTTCTTTTTTTCCATAAACCTCATTAAACCGGATGTGTAACATGAATACGGTTGTGCATTGCATTGAATTACTTTTCCGCTCTATTACTTCTTTTGGCGAAAGAAGAGTTCGATCTAGAAAAAATAAACCTGAAGAATATAATTGAGATTTATAAGCGTAATATGTTTAGGATATTTTACTTGCAACTCAAAAAATACATTTCAATTTTCTTCGGCAACAAAATTTACTATTGGCATAGCGCACTTGTCGTCTATTTATCATAGCTCTACTTATTTACATATTTACATAGTTCCATAGCGAGATATTATTTCCTAAGCTTTATATACACGATTAAAATGTTCATTTAATGTTGCACGAATCCCCATACGATCTACAGGACAAGAACGAACGATGAAAGATATTTTAGTCTCTTGCAATCTACTAGTTGATAAAAACACCGCGAATTGAGATGGATGATGAGCTCCTTTGATAGACTTTCATTTATTGTTTTTCATTTGAACGGTCTTTATCATCAATACACTAGTCCACGATATACAATCCTAATTGTTGTGACCACTGCTACATGAAGCATGAAAATACTTCAAATTTATTGACTCCTTAAGGCGACTGTTTGTGATGCAATGACAATGCATAGAAAGTAATAAGCAGTGATAGAATAGTTCTCTTATATCTTTCACTTATGTCATATAAATGAACAAAGATCTATAAAGTATAAAAGAAATCTGAAAAGAAATTTTCAAAATGCGAGTACATTTCCAGGTAGAGGACCAGTAAGTGACACATTTACAAAAGTCGCAATAGTATGAGGAAAATTACACGGGCGAAGGAATCACTGCAACAAACATTTCACAAAAAATTTTGATATTTGTCTATATAATCGAAAGTTTCACTTCCTCAATTGCCCGCACACAAAATACGTAGGAAAAATAAGATTTACATGCTGGAAGTAACAAAGAGACGACGACAATCATAGAAGTGCAAGCATTACATGGATCAAAGCCTGAAATATTTTTACCTTCCGCTCCATGATTACATATACAAAATAACGCCTTAAAAACTCTGAAACAAAATCGATTTCAAAATAACAAAAGGATATTCCTGCCTCCTCATAGGATTAGATACATTCTTCCTTAATTTTCAAAGGTTCCATAACAAACCAACAGACAATAAAATCACCTTCGGTTTCTTATGTTACTATATACAATAATAAAATTGTGGTAGGAAAATAAGGAAGACAAAAAAGATTAGAAAAATAATGTGATAAGTTCTTTCAAGTAAAATAGACTTACTACAATCTACATTTCAAAAAATCTGAAAACATTTTCAATCGGTTTCAAATCTCAATCAATGAACGAAGAACAGAAAAAGGAAAAGCAAAATGAGCAAAACATGGTTAAAAGGATTAATTACCCATACATCCGCTGAAGATCAATTAATTGCCAGGATTCTCAGATTCTGATCTTCCTTGTTCTGGAAGAGGAACACCGAATTTGGATTGATGTGCTGCACTCTTTACAGGAATTAGTACTTCATTGTGAACGTATGACTCACAAGGATAACACCATACCGAAAGATCGGTTAAACTCAGTACCATCGAATGACCAGTACGCATCTGATGATGCACTGCATGACCAGCAATGTAACGACCACAGTTAACCTGGAATAAAATAAGTCCATCTTTTACATACTTCATACAATCATCCGAATAGCAAAATTTTTTAAAAATCTTAGCAATAATTGCTTTCAATATAAATACTTTTCAAATGATTCAACAATTGAACGATTCCCATATTTCAATGCAAGCAATTATTGCAAACAAATTATATTTTGTTAACAACAAATAAGCTGACCATAATCTAAATTTAACAATCGTAAATCTTTTTTTGACACTGGAGTAGTACGGTAATGCCAACTTCCCCAAACAAATCATACATAAACTACAAACCGAGTAGCAAGTCAGGCAAATCCACTGTTCTACATTGGAATGGCATTCTGAACAACATGCTAATGCATCAACACCTTCAGCAGGAAGTTCTCTAATCTGAAATTACAATTAATAAATAACAACTTCTACAAACGGAATGAAGCAAAGAATATATACCATCATAAACAATGAATTTTTTTCCGGATGCACAACGAAAAAGATGATGACATACTAATTATTTGAAAGGAAATAACCAATGACATTGATAGTAATGGTTACGAAACGAGGAAAGAACTCCACTCTCTACTAAGACTTATGAGGAATATGCTAATTTTCACATATTGATATCTAAAGGATCACTGAAAATGAAATTTCTTGTTGCAGTACTTTAGATCTTTCAACACCTGATTATCTACTCTATGGATAATTCCATACTGAATTTTCGATTCAGAATAAACATAAATGGTAATCTATTTTTATGAGTAATTCTCCTCTTATCGCCAATATTTTCTGCATACTTTCATAACTCAAAGAATCAAAGAAATAATTATTGAGATTTCGATAAGGACTTAATTTAAAGCTTGATAAACTACGTCACTTCTTGAAGCAGACATCGTATTTGAGTCAATGATGACTCCGCTTGTTTACCCAAGCGAATATTTCGTCACAGTTCGGATTTTTAGAATATTACTATAATGAAATCTGAAAATTTAGACTAAAATCTAGTTCTTAAAAATATAAGCCAACAATCTGAAAAAGAGTAAAAGTGACGAAAATACCTCAGTTAAATGTGGGCATTCAGGTAATGGAACAACTGTGTGCATAACCACTCGGTTGTCTATTTGCGTTGATGATGTGGACGATGAAGTTGTCGGTCCTAACCGTTCGCTGTACGTCATTTTTTCCTACTTCTTCTCTCTCTGTCTCTCCGAGTAAATTAGTGCTAAGATATTTCGATTTCAATCTGCATTCAATTTTTCAACAAATATTCAAAGTAATTCAAAAATTTTTAATATCAAACTCTCCGGCATATCCACTAATCTCTCCATTGCCAGAAATCCTCCCTCCCCCTCCCCCCTATGCCCCTCTCTCTCCCTCCCTCCTCACCTCCACCAGTCACCTCAACTCCCGCGACTCTCGACAATCGCGGTCACCACTCTGACAAATTTATATTTCTTTGCTGGGTGTCGCTATGAAAACTCATTTCACTCCCCAATGATCGTTCTGCTGATAGGGTCATGCATGGTAGTAATTCTCGAATTCCAGAATTCTATTTCAGGAATTCCCGTATAAGTGGTAGGGTTATTGCAAAAACAGATTGAATTTTCTAGCTTGTTGGAAGAAAAAATGGACAAATTTTTCAACAAAACTTCAAAAGTTTTGTAACTTTTTGAATTTCATTGAAAAAATATTTGCAAAAGGTTTCCTATCAGTGATGGAAATTAAATTTCCTTTATATGATAAGGTGAGGAGAAATTAGAGAATTTGGACTTTAGGAAACAGTTTGGTGTATTATTTGGTCTGTTCTTCCTTGCATCTTAGGTGTATTAGAGGAGTAAATGTTATCAATGAGTTTTATCATTTCAGATATGATGCATTCGAGGAGAGGACAGTATCAAATGCAAAACCAAGACTTGTTCAGATATGCACCAATTACAAAAGCATGGTAATAACTTCATTTTTGATTTCACTGGCAATTTTTTGATATTTTTGATTTGAAGTTGTGTAGAGCCGTTTGTTTGGTTTGCTAAACAATTTATCAAGTTAAAAATATAATAAACTACACAGAACTGATTAGAAAGGCCAATATGGTTTAATTTTGGGATATTGCGGAGGAATTGTGCTATTGAAAGCCATTTGTTGAGAAGGCTTTACAATAGAATGCTTACTTGAACGGAAAAGTCTTTAAAATTTATGTAATTTCAGGCTGTTGATCACATTACTCAGTTCCGTTATCTGTATGTATTTAAGTATTAATGATTTTGATTTTTGGATTGCTCCATCATTGGGAAATATCACCTCTATTAAAGGCGTAAGCACTTGATGAAATATGCATGCTTCGTCGACGTTCATTAAAAATGTATTGTGCATTGTACAGTGTAGCTTATAATATTTAATTTACTAGTAGAAATTAGTTATCGTTAATGTTAGTTAATCTGTTGGTATTAATTATCACTGATAACAATTAATTCAAAGCGCTTTTAGATTTTGCAGATAATTTCATCAAAATTAGTTTTTCGAACTCCTTCATCACTTATAAGTGGATTGATTGTGTTATATTACGGTCGATTGGTGGAACGCCGCTTCGGTTCCTGCAAATTTATGGTGACTTATTGATGTTTATGTTCAAATTATGATATTGCCCATTTAATCATTAAAATTGGGAAGACGATGCATTTGCGTTTTTATGCAACTCTGTCCGAAAAATTAGGACCATGAAGGTGCTGTGGAATAGATTAAGCTTTTAAATCCTATCAATAAAAGTAGGTTAATCAACGGATTTAATGCCGTATCGAACGTTTCACCATTGCTAGGAACTTGGTGGATGTCCAGTAAGCAAAAATCTTAATTCCTCTGCTCAAATCTTAGTATTAATAGAGATGTCATTAAATTAATCATAAACCAAATAATTACAGAACTTCATTTTATTCAATTCTCTTCATGCAACCGCTGTAGAGATGGCTATTTATTTTATTCTTTCACGGTTTTATGGTTACATCCCATCAACTATGTATTTTGTTATTGGACCATATGATTTGCTCACTGCACTCTATCTATCATATGTAAAGGAGATACCATTGGTTCCGTATGCCAGTATATTTGGCTTATCATTATCAGTGCACAGCTTTCCGTTCATTATGTTTATTCAGGTTATTTTCCGCTATTAATTTTAATCCTAGTGAAAACACAAATCGTCGAATTGTTTATGCAAAAATTTTTAATTCCTCTGCTGAAAACTTGATGATAAGGAGACATATGTTGGTAATTTTGTTTGTCAATTAATTCCGCTCAAAGACGATATTACATGCCAGGTTATAAAGGTATTATCCTTGTGAGTGATCGAAGTTACTAGTGCTGAATTCCTTTTATTCACTATGTTCCGACGTATCCATTTCTAAGATATCCTCGATAAAGCTATCCATAATATTATTTATAATTATCCATCAACCACAAAAAGTTGACTTAGACTAAAATTGTATGGTATTACTTGTATCAGAATTTTTATTTCAGTGTTTCTGACTTTTCTTATTACATAACTTTGTGATTAAGTAATGAAATCATTTTCAGTTCTTGTTTATTTCAGCTTCTTGCATTGTCGAAGCCGATTTTGATTGCATGTGCAGCGGGTGCTTCAAGTGTTCTCTTATATCCACAACTGTTTGCAAAAGTTAATTTCTTGCCGGAATTTCTTGTTCAGTTGTCTCAGTCCGCTTCAAATCCGATTGGTTGGCTGTTTCAGAAATTTGCCGCTTGCGGTGAATTTGGAAGAGAGGTTATTTCTTTAAAATTAAAAAAGAATTGTAACTGGTCTAATGCTGTATTATTTACACAGCTTTACAAATTTGATCGTATACTGAAGAATCAGATAAAGGATATAACACTCTGCACTTTCAAAAGACAACAAGAACAAAAATAGCAAACTTTAAAAAAACACGAGAATGAGAGCCCTGATGACTAAGATTCTGTGAAGATTTATGAACAAATTTTTGCAGGGAAGTGTTTTACCGATAGCAGCAACGATTGAGAGACAGAGAATAGATATTCTAGATAACTACGAAAGGAGATTAATGTTTGGGCAGATGCAGCGTATTTACAGGAGTGAACGAGTAAGACATATTTTGCAATTTCTGTAGATATTTGAGGTGGTTGGTTTGTAGTTCGATATTTTAGCATGGTAAGTTTGAAAATTCGATACATTTCTATAAACGACTTTAGCTTGAACTTGAAAAAGTAGTGAATTTGGTGTTGATGAAGTCGGCTGCATCAAAATGAATTGACGCTTTAGAAAATGTATACTTAGAATAAACTTGCACACTGCAACATTAGTTGTTGTAAATGAAACTTGTTCTGACCTTATCTATGATTAAACTATCTCATAATCGGGACTCTGATTTAATTTTTTTTCCGGGATCCTGATTTAATTTTCATTTTTTTTTTTGAATTTTAGCATTGTGGAACAGACTTTGTTTGAGCAGTGAATTTGAAATAAATTCTCCACTTTTAATGTTTATGAAGGAAATTGTGACACTTCAGACAAACGTTTCAGGCTCTTCCTAGTGGCGGCCAACTTCAGTTTTTGAATCGATTGTTGAGCAGGGCATCCAACGGTATTTTTTCAAGCTTATTTTTCTAATATAGAAAATGCTATTATTACCAAGAAATGGGTATATGCAAAGCTTTTGTTATTTTTCATTTTCTCTTAACTTTAGAGTTTTTAAAACTTGTCGGTGGTATGTCAGTAAATGTGCATTCAATCCTATTTTTGCAATAAAAGATAAATGCTTGTTTATTCCTGGTATATTTAGGGAGTGCACTGTCTAACGAAGATCAAGTTCGTCAACTTGTGGATATGGGCCTTGGATCTCGGGAAGATGTCAGAGAAGCTTTACAGCAATGTAATAATGATGCTTCTGAAGCGGCTAATTTATTATTGCATAATAGACTTGAACGTAGCTAACTTTGTACTCAAGCTAAAAGTTCTATTCGCCATAAGTTTATTGTAACAATTAATAATTTTCATTTCTTCACGAACACAGTTTACGCTTCCACTCAGAGCGTTTATCTCATTTCTTTTTTTTAGTATTTCATCCTCTTTTCATCATAAAATCAATAGAAAAAACGAATTCTAAAATCTTTTAAATATACATCCAGTTTATTTCATTTCTCTACTTGATAATCTATAAAGGTCCAGTTCTTTGCGAATTTGTTCGTTATGCATTTCCTTATTTATAAGTTATTTTTATTTATTATATACACTGTATCAATAATGATAGCTAACCAGGAGTTGGTAATAGATGGATAGCAGATATTAATAGAGGATGGCATTTCGAACAGTTGAATTGCGACAATAATTCATATATAACTGATTATGTCTCAAAAATAAGCTGCGCTTGCATTTGCACTTTCTTCGCAGTTACAAAAGAAAAGTGGGTTAGAAAGTTGTCGAGTATGTTTTAATTCTCTTGCTATCATTTACATGTATTTTATGAAAGCTTTGAAAATTGCTTAGAGTAGTTTAATAACACTGTTATTATATTTTGTATATTTTGCGATGAAATTTTATCTATGGTTTTTCATAATTCTGTGATTCAAGCTTTCAATTTCCAATTATGTTTAAATAGCTCTGAGAAAGTCTGGAGTTTGGAACAGTACATTAATACTATTAAACTTTCTCTTGTTAGTAAAATAAATAGAATGCTGTACTATGCTATACGTTGTATTCTTATTTTGCATGAAAACTATGTTATCATAATATTCTTGGTGATCTCAGCTGATATTTTCTCAGAGGAATTGAGCTCCATTGTTTGCTTGGTTGAGCTTAATATGATCCAATGAAATTTAGGTATTTGCTGTGATTATGTTAGATAGATATTTTTTAAATCATAATTGTTCCACATTCTATCGTCTTGAAGATGCTTCATGTGTATACCGGTTATTGTTTTCTTATTTTTCTTTTTCTTGCGGTATAAGAAAAAATTATTTTCCTTTTCAAATCAGTTTTGTTTTGGTATTTAATAAAAAAAATAGTTCAATTAAAATACGATTTTGAAGCTGGTATTTACTCTTGAAATATTTTAAGCTGCATAACATCATGTTATATTATAGAAGTCAGCCCTATTAATTTTGACTATTGGTTTAAACAAGGGTAGTTTATATATTGATGTTGGTGCCTTTATAAAGTGCTCGATAGGAACATATATCTAGAATAATTAAGTTTCGATCATTGTTAAGTCGTGATCAGAATTTTTTGAAGGGCTTGTCAAAGTATTTGATAAGAATTTCACTTATTTAATTATTCTGAATCTCAGCAGAATGAATTCCAAAGATAAACGGAAAATTAGCGATCACGTTGATAGTGACTGTGCAAAACGAGGAGTGTGGCTTGTGAAGGTAATCTTCAATGATTTTCGTTTAAAATATGATATTGATGAAATTTATGCTGTTATTGATATCTAATAGTAATTGAATATGGGTGATTGTTAACAGCAGCATAGCGGGAACAGGATTGGAACGAAATGATTTGACAGCTGATATTATCCGCTCTCACGATCATTCCAGTGATGATCTTAATGAAATGTAATCTGTGAAGTGATGCGATGCGAATATACAAGAACTTCTGTGTTTCTTCAATCTTTGAGCAGTCATGAATTGTCGTATATTTGAAACATGCAGAGTTGTAGCATAATCATATTAAATCATCCATTGTTACACTATATATTTTCGTAGTAGTCAAATATGAATTTCTAGGTGCCCAGATATTTATCTGAAATGTGGGAGAAGAATATCGGCCATAATGTTGGACGATTGGTAATCAAGGCGGCAAATGGAAAAACTGATTTGATATTTAAAAGCAATACAAATTTGCTTGAAATGAATTCATCAGGTTTTGGTGCTCTGCTCATTTATTGATTTTTCTAGACACTTCTTTATCTACTTTAACTTTCCAGATCTATAGAAATTTATATGTTATGATAAATGTGACACTAAATCAATGTGCTCTTAATATGATCACGAATCAATCACTCCCTTTCCGGTTCATGTCATTCACATTGTGGATATTAAGTGTAGATAGGATATTGAATTGAATTTATATCAATTGAGATTCATTTAGTTCACGATAAAGCAGCCTCATCATCGGACTCATTTTTGAGCTCAGCATCACGCAGTAATCGAATTGGTCCCGCAAAAAATAAAACAAACTTCACAATACCAAATGAACACAGTTTTGTTATTGGCGATGTTAGGAATCAATCGCTAGCTGTGCTATGTGAAGGTCTTGATTATATCTGTACTCGTAGTAATGATTTTAGAATTTTTAATTCATGTAAAATCCATTCAATTCATTTCCTTCAAGATTCACTTTTGCTTACATTTACTCTTAAATTATTCAGATAAAAGTGGTTTGAATGAAGATGCTGACATATGTTCCGGCCGCTTAAGCATAGAAGGGCGAGTTGTAAAAAGAGCGGATTGCAGGCCTCATCAAACAGCTGATTATATGCGAATGAAAATGTACGTTTTGCAAATCATAAATTTCTTAATTTGTTATCAAATATTTTAAGGTAAGAATTTTTTGTAAATATGATGTCTATAAGTTCTTAGTATCATAAATGATATTATCATCTAAAATGTTAAGTTATATTACATTTCTTAATGCATAATAGCTTGCAGAACGGATAAGGTTTTTTGAAGAATATCGTTTTGCATACGAAAGAACTTTTAAAATGAGAATTGTTTCTAAACAGAACGACAATTCACTCATAAAAGCCAAGATTGCGTAGTTCACGAAGTCAACCCTTTTTCATTTAATATAGAAATTTTGAAAGTTTATAGAAAACAAATAGAGAAGAGCTGTCAGCCAAAACGACATGTGAAACAAATGGAAAAAGCTGAAGTGAAATTCAAGCCTATTTCTGTTCATGCGGAAATGGTTTGCTTTAAAAATCCTTCAAATTGCTGCAACTTTCTATTCTGTAAAGAATTTTATTTTGTAAATTTGAAAGCTTGGTTTAATGTCCTAAGCACAAAAATTCGATATTTTACAGTAAATAAATTTCGTTTTTGTTTAGTTAGCCAGAGAGAAGCTGAAGAAGGAAGGGGCGAAGACAGTCCGTGCTGACAAAGATATTGTCCGACAAGCAATATTCCATGCTTTTGAAAAACATCAGTACTATCGATTAATAGATTTGCAGAAACTTACCAATCAGCCTCCGGTTTGTTCTATCACTTTATTTACATTTCATTTCTGAGAGTTATTGAAAACTGGTTCATTTAAATATGGATCAAAGGATAAAAGGCACTCAACATATGTTTTCGCATTTTGTTAGGACCCGCATTATTCTCACTTCTTGGTCTGATCTCTTTTTGAAAAGGGGGATTAAATTTTTATCCTGTTTTGATAACATTTACTGTTTCCTTACTTTTGACCTTTTTTAGATTTTTTTTTCCATTTATTTATTTTTATACATTCATCCTTTTTGATACTTTTAAATTAATAACTGTCTCGAAACAATTTCGCATTATTTTTCTCCTGGATTTTAATCTTTTAATAATTTGCTCTAATTTGCATTTTCAGGGATTTGTTAAAGAAATATTAACGGAAATCGCTACGTACAACACAATGCCACCACACAAATCGATGTGGGAGTTAAAACCAGAATATCGAAATTATCGTAAAGATAAAAAAGAAACTGAATAACAAATTTTTTTTTTTTTATGCGGGTTCAATGGAAATGATGGAATGAAATGTATCGTTAACGAATTTTATTTTTTCTTTATTCATTGGCATGCTTCTACCAATGAGTTTTCCATATAAATTCATTGCTTAAATACCTCATACGCTTTTAGATAAACTCTTTCCTATGATTGTTTGATTGACTGAACCTTTTCTCTTTAGTGAGACTTTAACTTGGAGTTGTGTGCGATAGCGTTTGTATTTGCTGAAATTATGCTTGTATGTTTACTTGTTGTATCAGTCAATTCCCTATTAATTTATGTTAAGATATTTTATGACCGAAAACGTCATCGCTATGTTTATTTCATTACGGCATTTGTACTGTTTCAAAGCGTATGTTCAAATCCCTTGATGAAGTACACAAAATATTATAGTCTCGTGTGATAAAATAATCAATCTCCAAAAAGGACTGGCAACAAACTTTGTCTAATTCTCTCCCAAATTTCCCAGTTTGAAAAAGAAATACTTTATAATAGATCTGGTTTCGAAACTCCAAAGCATCTTTTAACGCAAGATTGCGCAATTCGAAACTCATATATCATGGTGAATCTTATTATCCCGGGTCTCCATATAATAATAATTCGTCAAATTTTATCTCACATATCATGTATATCGAAAAGTTTTTAAAGAACAAATTACAAAATTTTTCATTATTTATATTTATTTTGCTTGGATGTTTGTATTAAAAATGCTAACGGGATATTTGTTCTCGGCATTTATTTGATACGAAATTGCGAATTCTAATCGAAAAATAGCAATATAAAGCATGTAAATTTTAAGCATTCTATCCATTTTCTATTTTCACAAATAATTCCAAAGTAAATCCATCAAATTTGCAAAAGAAGAAGCGGTCAAAACAGCAGTAAAGTAAAAATAGGAGTACACTAACATAATCCATCACCAGTTTTTACAAATTTTTTTCTGCTGGTAAAGAAAGACGATTTGTAATGTTTATACTAAAAGATTTCGTATCCACTGTTGAATACTTCTTAAAAGTTAACATAATTACTAAAATTTGATTTGATAATAAGCAGAACTAAATAGGAAACATCAGTTTCATTAATAATCTCAATAATCCTGTTAGAAAAGTGATTGCTAAGGCAATAAAAAAATATCCAGCAAAAATGTAGTAATCATTGTGTAGTTATATATCATCTAAAACATATAGTAATTCAGATAGTATCAACATTCTAAAATTGTTCCATCAACGTATTTCCTTATATACCGCATGATCATACAATGATTATAACACTTTTGAA